TATATATATATATATATTATATATATAATATATTATATATATATATATATATATATATATATATATATATATAAATATATATTGGTGGTGTGTGTGTGTGTGTGTGTGTGTGTGCTGTGAAAATAAAAGGCTTGTTAGTATGCATTCCCACCCAATGAAATATGGTCTAACATTCTTTTTCATATAATTTGTTAAATTGCTTTAGATAGATCATTTTGATTTAGTCTATGCCTTTTTTGCTTCATGTGGCGAAACAATATTTTCAAAATGATTATTGACTATTGATAGTACATTTTATTTTAGAATAGACCACCAACAATCTTAGGCATAGTGGAGTGAAAAATTGACATTGCATGAAATCCACTGTTACAAATTAAATGTCTAGATGGAAAAAAAATAATTATGAATGCCTACATGTGGAACTATTTATAAAGAGGAGGCTTTAACATATAAAACAACAGTAACAAGAATTAGAGTAACATTAGCTTCATGCAAAAAAAAGTTCCACCATATGTTCGCACTAGATGCAAGCCAAATACTAAAAAAAATACAACATAAAAATAGCAACCGTAGAGGAGCTGAGCAGAAGAAAGTTGTAAAAATGAGCATATAGATGAAAGAAAGGGCTCTTCCGTCACTTTCCAAGTCACAATCATCTATGCCCACCATGAAGGGGTACTTTGATAGATTGAAAGAGAAAAATAATGAAAATAAAAAAAATTGCACCAAGAACTAGAGAAGGTTCCAACCATCATGAAAAGTATAATATCATCCAAAGAAGCAATACACCATGCTGATTGGCAGTAAGCAAGATGTTATATGACAGTGCCATCTCTCTAATGCCATAAATCATGCCTTTGCACAAAAGGCAATTAATGTTATAGCTGTTAATTGAAAAATCTGGGTATAAGTTGCCCATCATACTATTAAATCGAGATCAACTTGAAGATTTGCAAAAGAATGTAATTGTTGATTGAATTCATATAGAAAGATCATGGACAGAAATAGGTTGCACATTCATGGTGATGGTTGGGACATTATTACATGAATAGACCTTGATTAATTTCTGTTAACATTCCAAGGGTAAACCCCTTGACATAAATAGGTTGCACACTCATAGCATATACGTAAAAAAAGTTGAGTTAGCTCTAGTATTAAGATAAGTTAGAGAAGAGTCGCCTTAGATGGTTTGATCACTTAAAACGCGGGCCTTCCAATGACCCGTTTATGAAGTAAGGTATTAGATTTACTTATGTTAAGAAAGCTAAATCCCTTAAAAAAATAGTTGCACACTTGTGAGCATAACGTGAAAAGGTTGGAGTAGCTCCAGTAGAAGATAAATTAGAGAGAGTCGCCTAAGATGGTTTAGTCACATAAAACGGCGCCTCTAATACCCGATTAGAGAGTAAATATTAGATTTGATTATGTTAAGAAAGTAGAGGTAGACCTAAAAAAACTTGTTAGAAAATATAGAATACCCTTATATTAGAATTAAATGAAGAATTGACCTTAATATACACAATTGAAGAAGAAAGATTCATGTAGCCGACCCACGTAGTGGGATAAAGCTTGATTTGTGTTGTTATTTAACATCCAAAGAGTTAGCCTCTTAAAATCTTGGATACTTCTTATATACGACAGGATTAAGACTTTGTATCTCTCGTCTTCATCAGATTGAACCTTAGCCAAGAATGTGGAACGGCCGAAAGGCATGGCGTTATGCGGAGGCCTCTGGCCTTGCCGGCTTGGAGGCCTGACGCGACGGAGCGAGGCACGGTTAGGCGGAGCAGCGGAGCATCGGAGGCTTCGCCGGCTTGTGGGGCAAAAGGGCTATGTTACCGTCGCAATGGAAATTGTGCGACACGGCTAGATGAGACAGGTCAATTTTCTAGGATAACTCCGGGTTGTCGAGTCAACCCGAACCAGACCCATTTTTCAAACGGTTTAGAAATATGAACCTGGGCCCGACCTGCTTTACAAACGGGTTGATCCGAACCCAAATTTTTTCGGGTCAAGTTTTGGGTTGTGTAAAAAATTTACACCCCTATTTTATTTTTCCATAATTTTTTGGAACTGTTAAAATTTCTTAAGAAATCGGCACTTATCAATACAAGCAGGATTTTTGGAACAGATAGGTGTTTGTTTTGCAAATAAAAATTGCTAATTTATGAATATTTTTCTATAATTTTTTATTTTTGAATTTAAAAATATAAAATAATATGAATAAAATTAATATTTTAATATTAAATAATTATAATAATTAATATTTTAATATAATATCTTATTCCAATAATATATAAAATTATAAGATTTATTTGTTTTTAATATTTTTCCCAAACGGAGATCGGTTAGAGCGATTAAGGAAAAAAGGTGAGGGAGAGAAAATAAACAGTTCAGTTTTGGGCGACTTTGAGCCTTTTTCGTCCATCGGCCTAGGTGGAAAACTTATTCATCTCGAGGTAGGTACGCTATGATCATCTTAATTTAAAAAATGTGCATGTTTTAGCAAATATTATATTAAAATTTTGCATCCGTTAGCGAAAAATAAAAATAACTTTGCACAGGTAAAACTTTCATCGCATAACTTTTTATATGTTCTAGAGATTATACTTATGCACATTTTGAATATTTATTAAAAAAATTTTCACTACGAGTTTTGAAATTTGTGTGGTTTTTATTGAGTATAAAATTATATGCATGTTGAAAAATAATGTTATAGTATAATAAAATCTCAAAACATCATTTTATACAATTCATAGTAATTTGAATTTTTTTGAAAATATTTATTTTTATCTAGTTGGATTTTCTGTTGTCCATCGTTATACAATACTGTGAAAGCTTGATACATGCTCAATCACTCTTTAATTATTATAATGTGATGATATATGTGCATATATTATTAAATTATATCTATTGAGAGCCATAAGGGATTAGAATCCTTTGAGATTCTATTTGTGTCAGATAATTTCTTAGAGATAAGGGATTAGAATACTTTGAGATTTTGTTTGAGATAAGAATATGTGATATGTTTTGGTGCTATAAGTATAAATAAAAAAGAAGTCATAAGGGGGCAAAATTCTTTGAAATTCTATCTGTGCCTGAAAAATGTGATCTGAATTATTCTGTGATATGAATTTCAATTTCTTTATTTGTTATTTATTGTTATTTAAATCAAAGAATAACTTATATGCATTTATTATATTTCTTAGTTTAGTGATTTATTTAAATTGCATTTAACTACTTCTAGATATTCAATAAAATATTTGATAAAAAATATTTAAAAATTTAGACTGGCTTGTGGAACTTGTTGAGTTGTTATAGCTCATTGTGATTTTATTTCTAATTTTCAAGATCT